CGGAGTAGTATTGTAATCCATATGTCCCTTCATGCCATGGATTGGCGTGGAGTAACCTCAGACCCTGACGATATCATGACTGGTGGATTATACATGATCAATATTTACGTAGGCGAACGGACAAGGTTTCCGGCCGTTGAAGATTAACGATGCCCAAATTCAATTAACTGAATCAAATGCATAGCATTCCAACGGCGACACAGCCTCGATTTTAGGTCTGCTTGCGGGCCTCAACGGCTGGGGACAGAGTTTAGCTGGAGGCTCTGCCAGCCCTACCAGACAGACCCTCCAGCTATGCTGATTTGGAACTTGAGTTCACACCATTGAAAAAGCTTGGCTTATAGGAATTCTGAGATAGCCAATACAAGAGAAATGCATTCTTGTATGTGATCTATTATTACTCTGTGTGAGAATTGCACATTTGTCTATCTGTCTATACTTGGGTGATGACGACGCTTCAATTAACATGGAAGTGGGTTTTCCTCCGCTGACATGCGTCTGTAGCAATTCTCTGATTGCCCCAAAAAAGGATTGGATGGATGTACGTACTATATTTATATTCAATGGACCGACTGCAGGTTTATTTATGGAACTCTCCTCTGTGGATCGGTAGAGATTACCACTGCAATGTCTTATGCCAGGAACACGAGATATCCTTGGCTTTTGCCATACGGTCAGCGACCATGAGTGAGGTGATAATTATAGCGATACAGTGAAGCACAAGTTGACTGTGGTCAATATAATTGCGCTGTAACTAGGGAATGAAGGAAATGATGGTTTGACAGTGGCTGAATATTGATTGACGATGGCCTTGGTAGGGCTGCATATCGTGGAATGGCAGGGAATTTGATAGACAGCTAATAAAAGGCAGGAAAATACGGCTAGTGGTAGTAAATCAGATTCATGATCAGATACACTAGACGATCACCCGCCACTTAATTACCGTTTCTTTAATTTATTTGTTTTATTCAGAAACTGAGTAATACATTTGTCCCTACAATGGGTGCAGTGCATGCATAATAAGGTAGTGGCCTCATTTTATCACGTTATCCCAATTCAGAGGGCCCGTAACCTTAAATCAAGATGGATGGATGGATGGCAGAGAGAGACCTGTGATCCTTATTCACTTGTGATTGATCAGAGCGGATGGTGAGGTGGCTATACGGATGGGCTGAGTCCAACGGACATTTCCATTGCATGGTGCAGAGTATTAATTGTTACGCTAACTTGTGAGTTTATGTGGCATTTCAGTGGATGGCTGGGATGTGCACTAACAGTGGGGACTATGCATGACTGCACTGCCGCAGTCCTCCATTTCAATCTGCATTCGTTCCCTCATCAACATAGCCCAGCCCTGTTTATTAGTTATGTCATACCGATGGATGGCAAGGAGGAGGAGTACGATGATGTGATCTTTTATTCTGATACCGGCATATCAATCAAATTCAGAGACACCGTCTCCAGTGAATGGCCAGCACCGCCCTTGTTGACTCCGGCAGTTCTGCAAGTATGTGTGTGGTGGATATGGGATCCCTCCCAAGGCTGATTGAGTTCATCCACCACAATCCAGTCAGTTAACAGTTCCCAACGTTAGTGGAAAGCTAAGGCAATCCGCCGTTGGAGGCGGGATGCTGCGTCCCGTCTTTACGGTTCCATCCAAATCATTTTAGACTCCACCCGTCAAATGTGCAGTAAAGATCAGTTAGTCCGTGGATCGTAACACGAAGGACTGCATGAGGTGTTCGAGCACGTCGCTCTTGGCCGTATGCGTCATAGCATCTAAAATCGGAATTCATGATAGTAAAATTGTCGCAAGACTATACAAGACAAGACAAGACTGCCTCATCCGACGTAAACAGTAGCAACATAGTCTGAGACATGCTAGTTGCAGCAAAACCTTCCACTCTGGCCAAATCCTGTCTCCAGAAATCAAGGAACCCACCTCCAATTCAGGATCTGGTAGCGACAAAAAGTCCAGGGCAGGGCACTCCACCTCACTGCCAGTGGAGTTCCATCAGTTATCGCTACGGGCTGGGCACCCCAGAAAAGAGTACCTAGGCGAAAAAAGAACGCCTGAACCCCTGGAGTCCTGTGCTCTGCCACCCTGGGCTTGGCTTCCATCTGGCTGACCTTACCTGCTCGGGCTCTAGCTGGGTTCGTTCGCCCGCCCCAGGCTTTCTCTGCCCGTGGTTGCCCACCCCCTGCTTGGGCTGTTTCAGCGACCCAATCTTATGGAGGTCAGGGAACTCACTCCCATCCATCTGTTCTGCCTCTCTCTTGACTAAACTAAGCTGACATCCTTTTACTACAAACGCTTGGGCTCTTCTTCTTTTTCCTTTCATCTCATTTCTCTCTTCTCAACAACAATATCCATTATTTCCTTGGTCAGGCCGCTTTACAGCCACCAATTAACTCGACAACAAATCCCTCGTGATCGCGACTCCGTCTCTCGCTTCTCTTACGCTTTTCTTCATCGCGCGACTCCTTTTTCTGTCCAATTTTCGTATAACCTTAGTCGACTACTGTACTGTACTTGTCCACCTCGGTACCCGTGGCCATCCGCGTGAGCAAAGCAACCCTGTACCTTAATATAGACACGACCGCCCCGACCGAACCACCGCGTCTTACTGTCTGTCGCAGTCGAATTTTCTTCCATCAACAACAGCAACTCTTTATCATCGTCCGTCGAGCGATATCGACGAGTATTTCCATCACTTCGAACATTTCCCCGTGACTCCCGGTCGGAGTCATTCCATGTCCACCGTGGCTACCCGGCTAGAATCTCGCAAATCGCTCCTTGGAGCTGACACCGGCTTCGGATACGGAGGTCATTCATACAACAACTCCTACGGAGACAACAGTTACGCTCCCTCTCCAGTTCCGTCTCCACAGCCTATTCCTCAGCCTGCCGCCTTCGCCCAGCCCAACTTTGCCGACGCTGCAGTTGATCCCGCATACAACCAGGGCTTCGCCTATAGAGAAGGTCTCACCCCTTCGGTTCCCGCGCAAAGTATGAAGAACGGCAAGATCGATTTTATGAAGAGCAGATGGCCTGCTTCCTTCATGGCCGTCTCTCTTCTCCAGGCTATTCTGTGCATTTGCTTTGAGGCGTACGTCATCTCCGTCCGTGTCTTGCGGCATCTGTGCCTCTTGCTGACCCCTTATCTAGCTATGTGTTCGGCAAGTTCCAGGTCAACCTTGGCACCCATATCAGCGCTCCCCAAGTTCAATCCCAGTACAAGACTATCCCGACTTTCTTGACGCTTTTCATCTTCGGTTTCCTTTACACTCTCGTCGTCGTCTGGGATGCTCTCCGACAAAAGAACACCATTCAAGTCATTGGTGTCTGCTTCTCTAACCTGGCCCTTATGGTCTACACGACTATCCAGGTCGATCAAATTTCCGAAGCCTTCGATATTCTCGAGCAGAACAATGCTCTCAAGCGTGGCATGACTGCTGCCGAGCTTTGGCACGATGTGAAGCCTTATCTGGTGGCTATCCCAGCCATCATCGCCCTTGCTACCCTCGTTATGGGCTTCCTTTCGTGGAAGATTTACCAGGAGTATGCCTGGGATATTCTCAAGAACATTGGTGCTGATTATCGTATGAAGAAGCGATTCCTTCACTATCAGGTATGCTGCACCGTTACCCATACATTCCCTGATTAATACCTAACTCGGACCAGATTTACATCGCTCTGCTCAAGTTCGATTTTTTCTTCTTCCTCGGCTTCATCGTTCAATTCGTTGTCGTTGTTGCCGACAAGGATGACCCTGAATTCGCCCTAACCATCGTCACCATCCCCATTACCATTCTCATCCTGCTCGCTGCCGCTTTCTTCACCCGAAGAGAGAACAAGATTGGCATGGTCTGCATCATCATCCTCTATCTCGGAGGTCTCAGCTATTTCATCTTCAAGCTTGTACGAATCTATCAGCCTGGACACCGACAAAACTACGAAGCCGTTCGTCGATCATTAACCGCATTTGCTGTCATCACCATTCTTCTCATCCTTCTCACCATTACCAACGCCATCATGTGCATGCGAAACTTTGGCAAGGGCCTGAAGCCCCATCTGCAGTCTTTGTCTCGAAAGCGCAAGATCGAGGAGAAGCCTGACATCAACTCAATCAACATGCAGGATGTCAAGCCGCAAATTCCCAGCCGAATGACCATTGATTAAGCGGCCCTCGCAAGTCATGATTCTCCGAAAACAATATTTCGGAGGCATCATTGTACAAAGACACGAATTTACGAAAGGATACAAAAAATTTTCCCTTTTCTATGGCACCAGTCACAAAGGGCAGGCTCAGGATGGACGGTGACCAAACGGGTGCGGCGTGAACAGAAGGCGACGAAGTGATATCCCATGGTGTCGGAAACTTGCTTGGACTTTTTTATTCTATTTACTTTGGTTGTTTTTTGTTTCCTATGTTAGACCCAACCATATTAGGCGTTCAATGCTCCACCACATGGAATGAGATCCAGGAGCTGATACATAGTTCTTTTGTTACTTTTACTTTGTCCCCTGATCAATTGGATTGTGGGTTCTCATGATCAGATAATCTGATAACTAGGAATTGAATAGTGAAATCAGGCATATGCAAAATGGCCCGTGCTCGTGTGGTCTTTGAGACTCTCCATTCTATGAATCACGTCATGAAACCATCAGGACTCTGACTCAATACACTCACTGGTTTCAACTCTGTGAAGCATACATAATGCGAGACAATAGTGCAGCTAGAACGTTGCATGTTTCACAGCTTATGCTGGAGAAAAGATCGACGTTTCTGTCTAAGAGGCAAGGGAAATATCCCAACAGGTACAATCCTGAAACAAAATGCCAAAACGCCCGCTTTCCATTCTTGATTTTGAACCAAAGCCGAAGCAGGGTCCTTGCTTGGCTCATTCAATTCAAATAAACGCCAATCCATCTTGCCCAATGTAGCAGTGCGCTGTGATACGTAAACATGATCATGCATGTAGCAATGGAGAGTATCTTATAGTCTGATCTGAATGGCATCCTTAAGGTGGCCTTCTGTCGGGCAGTAGGGACACTTGTACCGTGTTGCTTTCGCTATGTTGTTGAGAGATTCACGGCAGAGAACGTGACCGCAACTGAGCATCATGGGAGGATTGTCTTGGGTGGTCTGCTCTTTGCTTACGGGGCAGACAAAGATGGGATGATAAACCATAAACTCAGGCAGAGGTGTCGCAAAGGCAAGTTCGTTCTCTGTCGTCCATTCTGTCTTCTTCTCCCGCATATAAGTCGTGTATTTGATGAGACGCGGAAGAGCGATGGAGCCTGCTGTGACGGCGATATAGAGGGGTGACTCCGCCGATAGGCCAAGCAGTGAACAGAATTCGCGAGTGAACGACATGGCTACGTCCTCGAACGCTGAATCTGTCTCGAATATATGGCTGTAAGGAGATTTGGCCAGGTTAGGGGCGAAGACCACAGCGCTGGAGAGCTGTTGTATCTCTAGCAAATGACGGTTCTGGAAACGAGGGAAGTTCTGGCGAGCATAGTTAATCGCTCCTCCTAGGCCGTTAGTCGCGGGTTCGTCGGGGAGACCGTTAACAGAAGGGCCTTTGAATAGCCAGACATATTGGAGCTTGATAAGCTCAAACTCGAGTGTGCTTCCCCTGGCCTCAAGATGGACGCCGTTTGCATGGGCCCAGTTGATGGCGGGTAGGAGATTATGGTCCTTGAGCTGAGAAAGGATGCTATACATTTCTGCAAACTTGTTTTGCAAATGTTCTGAGTGTAGACCCGCCATTTCATCTTCTAAGTCATCCTCGCTATCCATATCATCGTCGCCATCCTCGTCTGTTTGTGAAATGGTGTGCACTTCGCGGCCAGGAGGGTGGTCTGTAGCTTCTTTGAGAAACGTCGAGGCGACAGAAAATTGACCTTCGCGAAGAAGATGCATGGCTATCGCACGGTTGATGAGTCGCGGGTGGTCCGCCATGGCATCGGTCTCCATAGGGAGTTCTCGGTGGGGAAGAGCCTGTATCGGTCAGATGGCGTTACCGTCAAAAGGTAGAGCTTATAGACAAACCTTATCGAGGGCCTTTCCGAAGGACTTCTGCGCCTTGGTAATATCCTTTAGGTCAACATTGATTCGTTCGAGGCGGGCTTTGACTGGATTTTGTAGCGTCGTCATGGCTATGCCAGTTCGGTTCGCGTCTTGCTCTATTACAGTGGTTAGATGTTGGTGGTATCAGAAGAAGGCCAGCTCACCTTGAGCAATCTTCTCGCGAGCATTAGTAAGAAGGTCAATGACTTGATCTACATCATCGACCACGGTCTTGAGTGTTCTGTTCCTCATACGAGCCAGCTCAACCATGAGTGGTGCAAAGGGGGAGACATGCTCGTTATCAGCTTCCGCCATGGCTGGGGACTATGCCCATGGGGTTTTGAATCAGATATAGAAGTTATGATGAAGACCGAGAGTCACTTTCAACGCGACTAAAAGCTTCAAAGGTCAAGGAGAGTTATGAGCTCATCCAATAGCAAGGATATTCCACGGGTGAAAGACAAAAATGCTCGTTGTGTTGGAAGGTTGATGTCGTTTGCGGATTCAACGGTGACGGAACGATCCGAGCTTAGATAAGAGAGAGAGACAGTTGCATTATCGCTATCGATAAGGGCGATACCGAGGCTTTGCTTTAAAGGGGACCGGTCTCGCTCTCTTAATGAAGACCAATTAAACGAGAGTAGATTTTGGCTACGCTTTGACAACAGCTTCACTTTAATTACAATCTGCATGTGCAACTGCTAAACAAGCCTCTCTCCTTCGACTCACCACAACAACTATCACATATTGAATCATCCTCTTCATATAGCAAGTGACCCCAGTCTCCTCCCCCAGGGATTCACGTGGGGCTTCAGGGAATTAGTGCCCCGCATTTAGCTTGTAAAGTCTTCGGCTGCGTCTGCGATAGGTACTTGAAGCAGGTACCGAGAGCTAACCTGGGAGCTATTGCATCACATGAAGGCCCTGTAATGTTAGTTGCCTCTCAGACCTGTTCAACACCCGAAAAAAGGCCTCCAAAGACACGCGCGCCTAAACGAAGCTACTAGAGACGTCCTCTTGCTACTCCTCGCTCACCACGGGTGAGGATGAAGCTCGAGACTGCGTCTATCAGATACACGGGCCAATGACGACACCATGGCTTTCAGATTTCCAGATCCTCGACTTCGAGTCGACGATGAACTCTCGACAGGCACCACCGCCAAGGGGTCTGTCGCCCGTACAGCGACCACCTCCAACTCCAGCGCAACGCGAGAAAGTCCGCCAAACGGTATCCCTCCGTTAGAAGTTTCCGCATACAATGAAGCTGCAGATTCTCAACATGTACCCTCGCCGAGGCGCAAAAATCTTGTCTTTGCCGACCCTTTCGCCTTTCGGTTCGTCGCGAACAAATACTCCTGAACCTTCCAAGGCTAACACAGCATCAGGTATCTCGAAGAAGGCAGCAATGTTGTCGTTGTCGAGCGCCGAGGCATTTTACGCGGATACGAGTCGTACTTGGTTGAGCAATGGGCGTGTTCTCGAAAACCACCAACACTCCTGATCGTCACTTATACTGGAGACGAAAAACACTCGGTCGTCGTCGGTGTGCTCTCTGTTCCAATAGACGAGAGTCTTTGGCCTCCAAGGCTACGCTTCTACTTTGATCAACTCCAGGATTCACATGCGCGGCCCAAGGAGACTGAACTTGGAGAGCTTATGGTTACTAATCTGAGTAACTTCCCTTCGGCCCTCACCGTTATTATGGTACCTGAGGGTGATATCCGAAAATATCGCTCCTCTTTCATCGTCAATGAGGATTTGAAACGATTAGGATGTTCTGGGCGATCAGGAATGACTCTGTCAGATCCAACTGAAGCAACGCAGCTCAAGTTCCTGCAGCTTTACAGGACGAGCGATCGAATACCTGTGCCGCAAGCTGTAGTCGAACTTATCAAGCTTTGTCAAGTCACATTATACATGTTTGACAAGCTGGGGCACCAGTACATTGATGGGCTGCTTTGCGACAAAACAGAAATGGCTATCAACAACTGGTGGATCGAAATTGGTGCTGAACACTATAATTTTGAGCCTACCGATGGCATACTAGGCCCCAGTACGGTGGCGGCGTTACTAGGCATGTTCATGGGTGCTCGAAATCGTCTCCATTGGTACGGGGCCCCGGTATCAAAGGATGTATTTGACCTCGAAAACACTAAGCGTGGTATCGGTCACTTCCAAAAATCACAAAAGCTCGAGAAGACGAGACGGCTGGACCGTCAAACTCTTCTCAAGCTCTACACTGTGACTGCCAAGGCGGCTGCTGGAGAAAGTTGGGGTGTACAGAGGGCTGTGAAATCAACGCTGACAGAAGTCGGAGGTAAAAGGGGTGAGCTTGTAATGGGGATGGTGTCAGGAAAAGACAAAGGAGGACTGGCTGATATTGAGACTCTCGACATTGGCACTTTTGCTAGCTTAGCATATGGTGAACGGGCCAAATGGCTCTGGCATGGCAAGCCTCGGAGAAGCGTCGCTGAGCTGCCACATCACAGTCCAGAATTGAGCAGCGCGGTACCTTGGAAAGAGGAGGAAGCAAATCCAAACCCGAAACGAGTATATTCAGCGCCTGCTGAGAACGAACTGGATGCGAAGCGACTAGATGAGACTCCTGATGTTTACTCGGGCCACCCACCTGGTTCCGCCGTTAGTGTCGCTGATGGATCAGGTGATAAGGAGGCTTCGCGGAAGAACATTTTCAAAGGTGTCGCTGGAAAGATGAACGACGCTAGGTCTGGTTTTGGACGTATCAAGGATGTCGTTGGGGGAGGCTTACGTGGACACACCAGTCGGCCTTCGGTTTCAACAAGAGATGACTTTTTAGAATCGGGCCCCAGAAGTTCAAGCCAGGGGCTCACTCCAGGAACAACACAACCGCCAGCGCCGACGCAAGGAGTGGGCAGAGCCTTTACATGGAACAACAAACCGCAGGAGTATCTAGCCGCGATGAAACGAGCAGAGGCGGAAGGGGGAGCAGGTTTCCCACAGCTTTCGCACTTTGCGTCCACCTCGACAGTTGACATTAAGCATCCGGCCTCGGCTCCCGTGGAAACTCAAAAGCGCGAGCAGGATGGGGAGTTATTTGATATTGGGGTCGAAGTGCGTAAGGATGTATTGTCCAAAGCACCCTCCGCCGTTGGATCTCTTGTTGATGAGCATGACCTACAAGGGCCTGTTCTGGATGCAGAACTCAACGATGATCTATCCAAAAGGGGCCTCTCGCGACGACACAGTATTCAGTTATCACAGTGTCCGAACATGACCGTTCTCAACGAAAATCGCTGGCCACGAAGAATGTCATTTGGCGATGCTGAAGAGGCAGTATTGGAGTGGGAACCGCTCATCGACGTCGCGGATGCAGCGGATGGCTTTGCCAATATTGAAGCATTCAATGACCTAGCTCAGCATTTTAATCAGTGCTTGGAGGAAATGAAACACCGCATAGAGCCATGGGTCACAGAGAAGATCAGTGCTGTGGAGGCTCTCGATGAACGCTACGCGAAAGACAAGGATGAAATGCATGCACTCTACTACCAGCTGAACGAGGCATGCCAGCGCATGCGTATAACTTCTCATGAACTCCTTGCTGAGGAGCGGTCTCACCTCTTGGAAGGCCTTAAGGAGGTTGAGGCGCTCGTGGCTCGTCTCGATTATGAAATAAATGCTCTATTACAAAAGGTGGTCGATGTGGAAGACGGTATTGTTACTTTTGAGAGGCAAGTGGAGGACATGGAGAAGAGAGCTGAGGCTTTGAAGGCCGAACTCGAAACCGAAGGGTGGCTTCACTGGATGTTCAGAACTGTCACCGGAATCGGGACGGGTCCAGATATTACAAGGTCGCCGTCTTAATCCAGGGGTTGATGTTGGGTAAAGAGCGTTTTCATGGGGTGATAATCCCCTGCAGGATCATCAGCACGGAGTTTCGGGACATTGATATCATATCAAACATAGCATAGCACACCCCTGGGTACAAGGCATTTTTTAGGGTCATATTGAATAAACTTAATCTAGTTATAACTTATCCAGATACCAAAGTGTCATCTCTGGCCTGACCTTGATTCCTTCATATACAGGTATAATACAGCAACACCTCCCGTTGCACCGTCGGTCATCATTTCGTGATGCAGGCACCAGATATCGATTCAGACCCGATATCTATCCATTCTCCTGAATAATCGTACAAAGCTTCAATTCATCGCCCCAATCTATTTGGGGTCCGCCCTCTAAATGGTTTGTTGAGGTCGTAAAACGTTCGCATGTCGCTCATCACGCTTAGAACATGCCACCACCGCCCTGCTGGCCTCCGAGAGCCTGGCCCTGCTGCTGCATGATCTCGCTAACCTTCATAGATGTGTCGAGGAACTTGGCTGTGCAGCGGTCGAGGCAGACGGACTCGCCCTTGTTGAGCTCGCCCTCGCGGTAGTCGTTAGGGACACACTTCTTCTGGCAAGACTGCTGAAGACTGTGGCATTGCAATTTAGTAATCGATACATGTGCTTGGTGAGCGCTGAGGCTTACCGGTTGTAGGTGTCGGCCATCATGCGCATCTCGCTCTCGACGGCAGCAATCTTTTGCTCCGAGGTAGGCTGAGGTCGACCCATTCCGAGGAAACTCATTTTGGCGGTGTTGGGGGAGGTGTAGGTTGGGTGGTTTTGTATAATTGAGACGCTGTGATGGTTAAAGGGTGCGTTATGACGGCGTTTTGGGGCCTTGGACTGGATAACGGGAAATTTTCCACTTATCGCGGATTGGTCGATTATGTAAGGATGCATTGTTCTGACTACCCTGCACCATGGCGCATAAGGAACCCATTGCATATGAACTCAAGGTCTTATAATACTTAGGATTGCTGTGTTCTTTTAGGAATGTTGTAAAATTCTTGAACTATGTCTAGAGACCAAGGGTAAGTACACAAGTTTAGCGCATCAATGTTTGTTGTTGTTGTTGTTTGGAGCTTCAATCGACTATCTTCACTCATGACACTGATTTGACAATCACAGAGTTACTCCCACCCCAATTGCAATCGGTATGAACTATTTTTTTTCATTTTGCGCTATTTGGTATTATAATCATTCCATCATTCAATTCCTAAAGGTAATGTTCTTCGTGCGAGTCCATTCATCAAGACCAGCAGATGCACCAAAACGGCCAAATCCACTAGACTTGGCTCCTCCATGAGGCAGACCACTCTCATCATGAATACTCATATTGTTGATATGCACAGCACCTGTCTCGATCTCGCGAGCAATTCGGAGGCCTCTCTGGAGGTCAGATGTGAATACAGCAGAGCTTAAGCCGTACTCTGTATCGTTGGCGATCTT